TAGAAGCTCTTTGTTGGACACACTCTAGTTTATCTTTATCATACTGAAGTTAAGGATTCCAGATAGGAGCTGCATATTCCAAATATGGACGTACTAAGGCTATAAACAAGAGTTTCATTGTTTTTTCATCTAAATATTTAAAAGTGTGTTTGATCTGACCTAGCTTTTGATTTGCTTTATTTACTGCTTTATTTACATGGTGTTTCCATTCCAAATCATCTGAAATGTACAATCCTAAATCCTTTTCCATGCTTGTGTAGGCTAAAGCTGTATTATTAATTAAAACTTTGTGTTGGCTATTTCCTATTATCATAACCTTACATTTTTGCTGGTTGAATTTCATCAACCACTCATTCGACCATTCCATTAAGAAGTCTATATCTTGTTGAAGTTTAATAACATCATTATCGTTTTTTATTGCTTTGAGGATTTTCATGTCGTCAGCAAATAGTTTACAGCTTGATTTTATTTTGTTAGAAATATCATTAATATATACCACAAATAATAGTGGTCCTAATACTGATCCTTGTGGTATTCTTCTTCCCATTCTGATTTATTATTTCCTATCACCGCTCTTTGTAGTCTTTTATTTAAAAATCCCTGGCACCAGTCAAATAGTTTTGATTTAAAATCAAGAGCATTCAATTTTAGCAACAATCTTTCGTGATCAACTGAATCAAACGCTTTGGCTAAGTCCAGAAACAAAACTATTACATCCAAACAATTATCAATTGAACTTGTGATAATACCTTAAGATTCCAATAAGTTCGTCACACAACTTTTATTATTAACAAATCCATGTTGGTTTTTATTGATTAATTTATTTTCTACTAAATGTTTCATCATTTTATCTTTAATTATTTTTTCCATGACTTTACAAACTACAGGTGTTAAAGATACAGGTCTATAGTTGCATGGGTTCAATTTGACACCATTTTTAAACAGTGGGACAATATTTGCACACAACCATAATTTCGGAAGTTTACCCGTTTCAAATGATTTATTAAACAATAACGATGGTGGTTTGGCTAAGGTAAATTTGCACTCTTTTAGAACTTTTGGATGAACTCTGTCCACTCCAGTAGCTTTATTAGTGTCCAGTTTGTTTAAGTATTCTTCAACAACAGAGGTATTAAAATCTGGATTTCTACAGATTTTTTGTGTTTCTATATCTATTATTGGAGCAGATAAAGTTTGTGATTTATTGAATACTGATACAAAATACCCAGTCAATGAATTTGCAATTACTTTTAAATCAGTTTCGATGCTACCATTTTTTAGTTGGATTGCTCTTATATAGTCTTTGACTTTTATTGTTAATATGTGAATAAACTTTCTTGGGGTTAAACTTAAAATTTAAAGCAAGACCATATTCAAAATCTTTAATTCTTTGATTCACTTTTTTTAAACCTTGTTTAACTCTTTGTATTTTGCAAGTAAACGATTGTCTCTGAATTTTTGCCTTCGACATTCGGGTTTCAACGTTTCTTTTTTTTTTTGATAGCGCTTTCAATTCTTTATTAATCCAGAGAGTTTTGTGTTAGTTTGAATCCTTTCCGGTTTTATGATTGGAATAAAGAGTTTACATCCTTCTTCATAAAAGCTTAACCATTTTTTGTAACATTTGTTTATTTCTAAACCTTTGAATTCATTGCCCCAGTTTAAAATTTTAAAATAATTATTTAATTTATCATATTTCCCTCGATTAAAATTAAATTTTTCTTTTATAAGTACAATGTTGTCAATACACTCTTCATGACTGTAGTTAAATTTAATAGTGTGATGACCGTGATTAATACCTCCCAATGGTGGAAGGTGTACCAGTTTATAAACTCTATTTTTATTCTCAGCTATAATCAAATCCAGTACATTCTTTTCATTCCCAATGTTATTTTGAAACGTTGGCTTAATCACATTCTGAGGCATGAAGCAATTGTTTAAACATTCTAAGAAAATTTTGGCTGGTGTATGAGTCTTACTAGTTAGTGTGCCATAGTAATCTTCTGTCCACATGAATGCGTTGAAATTAAAATCCCCACAAATAAAGATTCCAGTATATTTATTTAATAAATTCATTGAACGAGCAAAACTAATAGACTTTGTGATGTTGATACAGTTACTTATGTTACTAATTCCGGTTCTGTACATACTGCCACATAATATTTTTTCACTTCCTAATTCAATAACGCACCAAATCTGTTCTATATTAGGGTCATTTCAACATTTTTCTGAAACTTCATGCGCTTTTATATTGTTTTGTACATATATACAAACTCCTCCACCTCTACCAACACCTCTGTCTCTTCTAAATAATATTTAAATTATTTTTTCATTCTTTTAGTAGAAATGAATGACAATAATGTAATGAAGCTATAAGCAAAAACATTATTGAGTTTAAACCAAAATTAATCAAGAAACATTGTTTTGAATTTTTATTAATTTACTCGTTTTAAAGATTTTGTTGCTTTAAATATAATTTATTTACAACTTTTTTTATAAAATTTAAGCTTAATATACCATTAAAAATACAATAAAATATTTATAAACCGTTACAAGTTCTTTTACTAATATTTTTTTTTCTATATGAGCCACCTTAAAAAAGCATTGTTCGGAGACTCTAGAATTATTTGGAGAAATATAAATATTTTTACAAACACCAAAAAGGTTTTTGTAACAAATGATCAACAACTTATTCATTAGGAGAAATAACAGAGAAAACTAGAAAATTCTTCAACAATAATTATGGAGTGTTTATTAATTGAAAAAAAAAAGCATTTGATATTGTATATTGAGCACACAATCCTCCTAAAAAAACTGCAAGACTACAGAGGTATTCCTCCTAAAGAAACTAAACACAGTATTAGAGGTATTTCTTTTCTCTGTTCTTAATAATCTCCAATATACTATGTTTTTTTTAAAAAACTGAAATTAGGATATTGAAATCTAGTCAAACAAAAATAACCCGGTGAAAAAAAGATAGCTAGATGACACAAGGCGTGTTTAAAACGTCTAAAACATTTTTAAACTACGTATTTTATACGTCTTAAACGTTTCTTTCACCTATAGGTAGCGACTACCCGCCTTAAAAAAACTTTAAGGTCCCTTAAGGGCATGCCCTTAAAGAACCCTGACGAAAATGTCCGCGCGGAATTTCAGGGTCCCTTAAGAGTTATCCCTAAAGCAACAACAACAAAAAAAACAACCACGCATTACCACTCAAAAGATGAGTATTAAAACGTGTTTTTTTTTTAAATTTATTTTTTTCAATCAAAAATTGAATTTTTTTTTAAACTTATTATTATTACGATTCATATTACATTAACTGTTAAATATTACATATTATTTACATAGTAATACTATTCAAAATACAAGATATTAATATTTATTTAAAGATGTCTTTCGCTTTTTTTGTCGAGGATCGTTATCATCTTCGTTGAAGTGAGAAGCACTTCTCTCGCTTGAAACCAAACACAAAATTAAAAAGACTTTAAAATAATCATATTTAGTCTGCGAATGATATAGAAGTATATCAAAATATATTTATAATAAATATAAAATATTTATTTTATAATAAATAATTATAGAAGTATATCAAAATATATTTATAATAAATAAATAATAAATATATTTATTTCACCTTTAAGGTTTATATAAAAAAAAAAAAAAAAAAAAAAAAACATACATTAATTTGACAACTTGTAGTTGTTGAAGAGAAACACTAAAACAATAAAAAACTGTATCAAAAACTTATCATTTGAAAAATTATATCAGAATTATCTGTTTATAAAATTACATTACACATTTTTCATTTCGAATTTTTCAATTTTTTCAGGATTCAATGCAACAACATCATCAACATGAACAATTGATATTGATTTATCCGATAAACAATACATTAAAACATATTTTCGACTCAAACAGATATTTAAATTACTAAATTATGTAAAATAAAAATCAGTAACATTTCAAAATTATCATCAACAAATTTTGATGATAAAATCAGATGTTGAAAGAAACAGACGCTTTAATTATGCTTTTTTTGTCATAAAATGCTGGAAATATTTACTGTAGCAATATATTAATACTATCTAATTTTAGTGCAAAATATCAAAACAATACTGGTTCCTTAATATACTTTGTTAAAAACAATTCAAATTGTTTAAATATAATTATATTTAAATATTTATAACGTAAAGCCTATTATGACATAAAAATAAAAATATCATTACATTAAAATGATGGACTCCATTACACAGTCATTGAGTGTGAACCCTTGAATATATTAATTGCAAATGTTATAATAATGTACTAATTGCCATTATTAAAACAATTTCTGTATTTGTTACGTGGACCACATAAATTTGTACAGGTATCTATTCTGTCTAATATCATTGTAACTGGGGTGAAGATCGTAAATAAATGTATTTAATACATTTATTTACAATCTTCACATCAGTTACAATGATATTAAGAGTATAGATACCTATACAAATTGAACTGGAAAGATAAAGATGAACAATTACCATGCTACGATTGACAAATAACACCTTTTTTATTCGAACTACTTTTTAAAGTATAAAATAATAGTTGAATTTTAAAAAACTCAAATAGAAATCCTTCCCGAAATATTTCAAATTCTTTTTGATGGGGTGAGCAGTTTATGTCAATAAACTGATGGTTTCATCTTTTTCTAACGTAAGTGCGCCAAAAATGGTGCCCAAAATTTTGGTAACATATATTGTCCCTCATCTAAATTGATACCATTTTATTGAGGGGCACATATTTATTGATGTTTATAAAACAATAATTTACATACTCTCATACACAATGTCTACATTCAATATATATATATATATATATATATATATATATATATATATATATATATATATATATATATATATATATATATACACACAGTAATTACATTTTAAGAACATTTCACACTGTATTAAAAAAAAAGAAAAGAAGAGTTTTAGAGGACTTAAAAAAAAACCCAATAAGTTGCAACTTATTTTGATTCCATATTGTTACAAGATTACTTTAAATACGAATAATTTTCAAAATTATAAAGAAATCATCAAATTCAAAAAACTATTCTTTCTTTGGTTCGTTACTAATTAGCGCAGAATGATGTCCAATTTTATCCAGCTCATTTATTAGTTCACCGCTTTGATGCATCTGCAACAATATATCAAATCCTCCTATAAACTCACCATTAATATAAACCTGAGGAATAGTCGGCCAATTAGAAAATTCTTTGACACGACTTCTTAGTGTTTCATCTTCTAGAACATTAAATGATTTAAAGTTTTCACAACCATGCATATTTAATATTTGAATGACATATTTACTAAAACCACACTTTGGAGCATCAGGAGTTCCTTTCATAAAAACAACAAGTTTGTTATTATTGACAATCTCTTTGAACTTATTATCGCTCCAATCAATACCAGATGAAAAACATTTATTATGGTTGATATGTGCAAAAATTTGCTTTTGATGGATAACTCCTGTAATACAACCATTAAAATAAGGAAGGGATACTGCTTGCTGCATTAATTTAGCAGATAAAGGACGCATAACATTAAAAAACATATTTTTTGCTAATTATTCTGTAAAGTAAAAACAAAATAGCAATAAAAACAAATAATAAGTTTTTTTGACAAAAATTTTGCAACATGAACTTTGTACTAAATGAACATAAAAATTACACACACATGCAAACACATGTGTGTGTGTATATATATATATATATATATATATATATATATATATATATATATATATATATATATATATATATATTATATATATATATATATATATATATATATATATATATATATATATATATATATATAAGGGAATGCTGCTACATCAACTGATAATTTCGCATGGGGCGGCAATCTTTTTTTTTTCATTATTATAATAACAAAAGAAAATATTGCTGCCCCATGCCAAACCCAAACTTGATGTAGCAGCACTTCCTTGTGGCAGCAGGCTATAAGATAGACAATATATTTACTGATGTCAATAAATAATACTTAATGTTTTTTTACAAATCAGGTTAGGTGTCACTCATAGTTAAAAACTAGTCAAGGGAGTGACACCTAAATAAAATACACAAAAAATAAAATCAATAACAGCAATATTATTAAATAATACAAAACATAAATTACCATAATTAAACAAACAAACAATGAAATTATAAAATAGACCTAATAATCTTAATAATACAGTTGAAATAATATGTGATAATATGTAATAACACAATATATATTATAACAATGAAAGAGCTTACATTAGAATAACAGTAATACAATAGAAAACAATAATAATAATAAAAATAACTAAATAAGACAATTTTAATAATAACGATTTAAATCAAGCAAACATATTATGACCGTTATAAAACCTCATCATTAGATACTAAAAAAAAACGTAACAAACAAAAACACAACACAAAAAAAGCAACAAAAAGTATAAAGTGTTTATAATGAATGAACGATATTGAAATGAAAGAGAGTGAGAGAAAGAGAGAAAAAAAGAAAATTAAAAACATATCACATGATGAAATAGTATTAAAAAAAGTATTGTTTCGTATAATATATACAATATATATACACAAACTAAAAAAAAAAAATACTACATTAAGACACAACAGAACGCAAAAAAAAAAAAAAAAAAAAAAAGAAAGAAACAAGAAAGGAATAGTAACAGCATTTGTCTACTCTACATTTAGGTAATCAAAGTTAACGCTAAATGATAGTTTTTCCAGCTGCCGTGCTGAATAGGGGGATGTAGCAACTGAAAGACCATGTCTGGTTTGTTCAACTCATACACAGTTTTGTCTTCTCTTCTATAATTTAAGAAAATTATTGAAGAGAAAATAACAATTTGAGAAAAAAAAATTACAATTTAACAAAGATATATATACACATATTATACTAAAAAAATTCTTAATAAACAAAAAAAAAAAAAAATCATAAACTATAACAACATATTACATTAAAAAAAAACAACTTTTATAACTAATATTAATCATAATAGTATTTACAAAATAATGCAAGTTTATACCTTGGCGGTATTAACAAGGTACACAACATTAGCTACCTCCAAGGTACAACACTACCATAATTTTTACAAAATCGCTACCATATATTTATAGGTTAGGAGTTATGTAGCTGAAAATATGCTTTACAAATTTTGATAATCAGTTATAAAATAAAGTTGATACCTACAGTTGATGAAAAAAAAAGAATATGCCTTAAAAAAGTTACTTTTTAATACCGGAAACAAACGTTTGTTTTTATTGCAACAACAAATGTGTTAAGCAGTGGTAAAACAACTTATTATGAGCCTTTATTGACCAATACATGCAGCTAAAATTTTAGTTTGAATTCATCACTCAAGATGACAACACAATTAACGTGCACACTAGGGCATCCCGTACTTTTCAAAAAACAACTTTTTTTATAATAAACATTTGGCCCTTGGTATTTTTTTGCTAGAAAATATTTAAATTTAGAATCTGTTAAAATAAAGCTGCTATTAATAGGTCTTCATTTGCAAAAATTGATTTATTGCTATATTTTATTAACCTTAAAATTATCTTGAAGCGTCAATTCATTTTTAAGCGGAAGCAATAAAAAACCGTGAAAACTTCTTGATAAAATTAAATTTTTTACATTTCATTGGAATTTTTGAAACAAAAAAGTTCTTGATGTTCAAAATTTTTTGCATTATATTTTTTGTAATTCGCTTTTATATTTTTATTAACTTTAATTCACGAATACTATATAGTTGAAGTAAAAAATAAAATTTACAAATTTATTTAAATAAAATGAGTGGTATAAAAACAAGAAAAAAGACAAGCACAGCAATGTCTGACTTAATAGGTATATAATTTTTAAAAACCTAATTGCTTTGTTTTGAAATTATTTATAATATTTTTTTTTAATATATTATTTTTAAAATAATATAATTATTAAGTCATGAATAATACATTTTCTCCTAAAAAATTTGATCAACAATAACATTGCCAATGAAAACAATAACATTGACAAATATTATTTTTTAAATATTATGATCTAATTTAAAATTAATATTAATTGTTTGATACTAATCTTATATCTTAATACAATAATATTGATATAATATTAATATGTTACTATATAACAATAATAATAATATAATAACAACAATAATAATAATAATAATAATAATAATAATAATAATCATAGCAATAATAGCAATATTATTGCTATTATTGCCAATAATAATAATAGTAATAATAATAATAATAATAATAATAATAATAATAATAATAATAATAATATGATAAAATTTTATCTTAAGGAAAAGGTAGAGACTTTATTCCATCTGAACTACCAACTTATGGTGCTGTTCTTCGAAAAGCTATCCTCATTAAAGAGTTGTCAGAAAAAAAAGTATATCCTTTAGATGATTTGGTTAGGGAAACAAGGTTAGAAGTTGTTAAACAATGGAAAAAAGCAAACTCAGACTTTTCACATCCAGTTATTTTTACAGATAAGTCCATTGACAGAAAGATCAAAAAAATTTACAATGATGTTCAGGATATTTGCAGAAAAAGATTAACTAAAAAAGTAGAAATTGATAAAATAATGAAGTCTTTGTCACGACTCTTTGATATAACTAACTGCAAATGTGCAATTTTATTCTGTAGTGAATCAAGTTGTCTGGGATGTGAAAAAAAAGTTCATATTGACTGTAAATGTGAAAAGTCAATGAGGATTCCTATAATAGAATTAGAATTTATTCACTCACAGAGAAGTAAAGAAGGAGAGCAGTCTCAAATTATGATAGGATCAAAAGACTACATAGAGACTAAAAGAAAGCGAAAGGCATTTGAGCGATGTAGTAAGAAGGAACAGAGTTTAAAAAAGTTCAAAAAAATGGAGATGATGAATAGTAGCCATTCAAAAAGAACCTATGCTGAGGTTTCAGAAAAAAGTAATGATGAAGAAGAGTGCTCTAAAAATGAGTTTGAATGTTCAAGTTACACTGAAAATATTGATTTATTAAACAAAAGTGATGATTTCAAACTAAAGCGAAATTATATGAAGATTCAAAATACTGCTATTGCTGCAATAAGATATGAAGTTTCAAACACTGCTGCAGCTGCAATAGCCTCAGGATTTTTAAAAGATTTGGTAGAAGCTAAAGTTGTTCCAGAATCAGCTCTTTTTTTATTACTGGACAAAAACAAAGTGCATAGAGCCAAAGATAAAGTTATGTTAGAATGTCAGGTTTTTGCAGAGAATAGATTAGATTCTGAGAATGTTTCTTGCATTCTCTTTGATGGAAGAAGTGATAAAACCAATTTAATGACATTTAATGAAGAAACCAAAAAGTTTTATCCTTTAATTAAAAAGGAAGATCACTATACTTTGACTGATGAATATGGTAGATATCTTCATCATTTTACGAAAGGAGAAATGTGTGAAAAATCAAAAATTAAGCCTGCTGAACATATAGCAAATCAAATATTTCAATGGTCTATTTTGCATTGTGTTGAACATAGCTTAAAGTTCATTGGTTGTGATAGCACAGCTACAAATACAGGCCATAATGGAGGTGTTATTCATTGTTTAGAAATTAAATTAGAAAGAAAATTAGGGTGGCTAATATGCTCTCTTCACACAAACGAACTTTGTTTTCGGCATTTAGTAGAAGAGCTTGATGGGAAGACAACCTCAAAGACAGGGTTTTCTGGACCAATTGGTAAGTTGCTTTTCAAGGTTACTGAAATGGAAAGAAATTACAGTTTCAAGCCAATATTTGTAGGTCCTGGTTTAATTGAACTTGATGAGGAAATAATAAAGGAGTTGTCTTCAGATCAGAAATATGCTTATAAAATATGCCAGACAGTAATTTCAGGAACTCTTACTGAAGATTTGGCAAACCAAAAACCAGGCACTATAGTTCATTCAAGGTGGCTCAATACAGGGTCTTC